CTATCTTGAGAGAGTTGTCATAATTCTCATGGTTCACACCCATCACAAACATGGGGGCATTAAAAGGAGGGGCAGAGATGATGACCCTCTTGGCCCCACCCTTCAAGTGAGCCCCAGCCTTCTCCATGGTGGTGAAGACCCCAGTGGACTCTACAATATACTCAGCACAAGCATCACCCCATCTGATGGTGGTGGATCTTGCTCCTGGAAGATGGGAGATGGGCTTTCCATTGATGACAAGTTTCCCATTCTCAGCCTTAACTGTGCTGTTGAATTAGCCAGGGGTGGAGTCATACCAGAATATGTAGACTATGTAGTTGAGGTCAATGAAGAGGTCATTAATGGCAACAATATCCACTTTGCCAGAGTTAAAAGCAGCCCCGGTGAGCAGGTGCCAAATACAGCCAAATCCTCTTACTCTGACCTACACCATTGTGTTTACAGGACGGACACAGCTGGCCCTGCACCAGAGGATGCAGCTGTCTGTCGAATGGAAGAGGAGCAGAGAGCCCTGTTTTCATTCCTCAAAGTGTGAACTGGATAATTTTAACATAAAGGTAATTAATTTTCTAGTCTCCTATACTCTATTAAGGGTATTCATCTCATCTTGTGTATTTCTTCGGCAGAAGGGTCAGTAATAAGTGATCTAACTTTGAAAGGGTGTGAGGCTAAAAGAGTGTGACTAAAACCTGGACAAGGCACTAAGCTTCCTTATTCTGCTTTCATTTCCCTTTTCCATATCATTCAGATACTTATCTGTGATCATCTGTGATAAAAGAAGGGAGGCAACATTTTAAGAATTAGGAAAGATTTAGAAATGTACTACAGCAGATTTCCTTGTTTTTTTGTTTGTTTTTAATCTCTCTACAGATCATCATCAACTTATGATGGGGTAACATCCACATAAACCTATCATAAGTTGAAAATATTGTAGTTGAAAGTGCATTTAATACGTCTAACCTACTGAACACCATAGCTTAGCCTTGCCTACCTTAAACGTGCTCAGGACACTCATATCAGCCTACAACTGGGTAACAACATTAACACAAAGCTTATTTTATAATAAAGTGTTGGATATTTAATGAATACTGTACTGAAGGTGAGAAACGAAATGGCTGTGTGGGCACAGGATAGTTACAAGTGCATCGGCTGCTTAGCCTCGTGACCGTGTGGCTGACACACAGCTGCATCTCCCTGCTGCTATCCAGCAGCACCAGGGAGTATCGCACCACACATCACTAGCCCAGGAAAAGATCAAAATTCAAAATTTGAAGTAAGGTATCTACTGAATGCATATCGCTTTTGCACCATCATAAAGTTGAAAAATTGTAAGTCATGGACCATCTGTAGCTAAATAAATTTGCAACGGCAAGGGTACCCCATTTCAAAGGAAGCTACCATACAAAAACCCAATTTACAGCTGTAAAATGTTGCAGGATGATTTTAATTTTATAAAATGCATTAAATGTACACAGGGTGGACTATGTAATAACATGTTCACTCAGTGTATTTTAATACTATATTTTGGGGGGGATGCCTGGGTGGCTCAGTCAGTTAAGCATCTGCCTTCGGCTCAGGTCATGATCCCAGGGTTCTGGGATGGAGCCCCGCATCCGGCTCCCTGCCCAGCGGGAAGCCTGCTTCTCCCTCTCCCACTCCCCCTGCTTGTGCTCTCTCTCTCTCTCTCAAATAAATAAATAAATAAAATCTTTAAAAAATAATAAATAAATACTATATTTTTTATAGACTTTTATATACCAGCAGAACAAAAGTAGCAGAGAAACCTGAGGCTAAAAGCCTAAAGAAAGAAAGAAAAGAAAAGCCTCAGGAGCCACTGACAAATGAGTATGAATCAGAAATGAAGCTAAAACATGTAGAAGATTGTAATTATGAAAATTAATCCAACAAGTATTTATTAGTTAAGGCCTAAACATGTGTTAAGCCACAGAACAATGCAAAATGAGTAATACAGGATTCTGTATTCTCAAGTTAGCGGGTGAGATAAAATTATCTTACGTAATAAAAATATAGAGTAAGTTCAAACTGGGTGGTATAATTTGTGTCATAAAAATGTATAGAAAAGAAAGATGAGTGAGATAGTTAGAGAAGGCTCCATGGAAAGGCAGTACTTGAGGTAGGTCTTGCAAGATAGAGAGGTCAAGGAAGGAGAGAGCCATTTGAGAAAGACATGAATGACCACATAATGTGGGAGGCCCACAAGACCAGCTTGACTACAGCAGAGGCTGAGAGTTAAAAATCTGTTCTAGGGGCGCCTGGGTGGTTCAGTCGATTAAGGTCTGCCTTTGAGTCAGGTCATGATCCTGGAGTCCGGGATCTAGCCCCGCATCGGGCTCCCTGCTCAGCAAAACAACAGTTGGAAAAGCACTACTTTTAAAACTGGGTTCAATCCCAGGTTAGCAACCAGTTCTGTCCTCTTGACAGAGGACAAGTTTTATAACCACTCAGAACTTTAATTTCCCCTCTGTAAAATGAGGACAATAATTGTTCCTAATTTATTATGTTGTAAATATTGAATAATAATACATGAAGAATATAGCACATACATTGGCATATAATTGGCATCCAACAAATGTTAGCTGGGACTGTTATAATAATAAAGTGAATATAAAGTGCAGAGGATGATAAGCATAGATGTTCTGGAAACATGAAGAAAACTAGTTGCTTTAAGTATGAGGTGCATGTGAGGATAGATGTCTTAGTTTGTTCAGGTTTCTATAACAAAATACCATAAACTAGGTGGTTTGTAACAACAGAATTTATTCCACACAGTTTTAGAGCCTAAAAAAATTTATAATGTGGGGAATTCTCCAAACATAAGGTTGATCAAAAGATGCTAAATGGCCATAAAAATAAATGAGGACTATATATACTACTGTGGAGTTATTTCAGGATTTAATTGCTAAAGTATAGTTTCCAAAAATTTGAGAATATGACTTGTACAAATATAAAATGAACATGTGTCAATATTTCATTCAAGTCATCAATTGATAAGGGATCAGTAAGATATTAAAACTGGTTCAAATAAGAATTGAAGTGACAGTTATTTACATTCTCTATTCAGTAGAATTTACTAGACAGAATTCATTTGCATTGCTATGTACAAGAATCATCTGCATAGTTTTTCATTTTTTAAAAGATTTTACTTATTCATTTGTCAGAGAGAGAGAAAGGAAAGAGAGCACAAGCAGGGGGAGCAGCAGACAGAGGGAGAAGCAGGCCCCCCGATGAGCAAGTTGCCTGACGCCGGACTCGATCTTGGGTCCTAGGATCATGACCTGAGCCGAAGGCAGACACTTAACCGACTGAGTCACTCAGGCATCCCTAGTTATTAATTTTTTACAACCTAACTCTCCTTACAGAGTTGTAAAATAGCCTAGTCAATATAAAGTCCATCAAAGTTGTGCACTCATAAAATCAGATAATCCTGCCTCCTGCCCTCAGGGTCTACTAGACAATGTCCAGACTCTTTTGCCTATTTCAATACCGTGTGGTATTGAAAGAGCAATAGAAAAAAGCAGATCAGTGAGCTCAGAAACTGACCTATGTATATATGAGAATTTGGTATATGATAGAGGTTTCCCAACACAATGGGAACAAATTAAGTAAGTTCCCTACTTTGCATCATAAACAAAAACTAAATTCCAGATGAAATAAAGACCCAAAAGCAATGACTATTAGAAAAAAATATATAATACTCTAAAACTATGAGAATTAGGTGAGTGTATGTTTTTTACATTGGAATGAAAAACATTTTCTTTTTTTTTTTTAAGATTTTATTTATTTATTTGACAGAGAGAGGCACAGCGAGAGAGGGAACACAAGCAGGGGGAGTGGGAGAGGGAGAAGCAGGCCTCCCACTGAGCAGGGAGCCCGATGCGGGGGCCCATGCAGGGCTGGATCCCAGAACCCTGGGATCATGACCTGAGCCAAAGGCAGATGCTTAATGACTGAGCCACCCAGGCACCCCTGAAAAACATTTTCTTAAATGAAACCAAAAAAAGCATGTATCATAAGGTAAAAGTGAATAAATTTTTCTACATCAACATTGTGAAATTTCATATAGAAAAAATCAATATAAGCTAGACACCTGTGAAAGACTGAGAGAAGATATTTTTAGTATATAGAACTGTCGAAGATTAGTAGCCAGAATATATGTACATATAAAAAGCAACTACAAAACACTAAGAAAAAGCAACAATACAATAGAAAAACGAAAACATATGAACAGACATTTCACAGAATACTCCAATGGTCCATAATGTGTGAAAAGATGCTCAACCTCATTAGTAATTAGGAATACACAAATTATAAAAAATGCTAGTTCATCTTGCCCCTGCTCCACGCAGCTAACCACTCTAGCACTTAGATGTACCTACGCCTATTTTCTTTCCATGAATATGCTAACAAATATTACTATCAATAAAGATATTTTGAGGGGCACCTGGGTGGATCAGTCGGTTAAGCCTCTGCATTCGGCTCAGGTTGTGATCCCGGGGTCCTGGGATTGAGCCCCACATCGGGCTTCCTGCTCAGCAGAGAGCCTACTTCTCCCTCTCGCTCTGTCTCTCCCCTCGGCTTGTTCTCTCTCTCAAATGATAAACAAATAAAATCTTAAAAAATATTTTGAATTGATGAACCAAGGAATAGTTGAGTAAGAATGAGACAACAGTAATCACAGATGGTTACAGATTTTCAGAGGAAATTCTGGAGGAAAGTGGGATTTCAGGAGCTTAATCCAAATTTCTTCATAACTAAATTTTTCCATCTGAAAATTGGTGTTTTGAGGTAAAGTGAATCATCCAAATGGTGCTCCTATTTTGCTGAGTTTGTTCTACTGATCGGCTCCACTGGGGTGCTTTTTGGTGGCTTACTATACCGACTGTACCCTCCAAAACCAGAGGGTTGAGGGCCAGAAGATAGCTGATGTGGTTAGATTTTTAAATGAAACTGAAATGAAAGTTCACTTCCTCATTGTGGATACCTCATGTGACAAGCCCAGTATCTTTTTAAAGTCAATGTAACTAAAGTCCCTCTGCTGCCTTCAAACCTTTGGAGAGGGCTCGCCTTTCAGGCATTCATAGTATGGGAGCACCTGCCGGTTCTATCATGTACGTAATGTCTGGTCTTTTTCTACTGTTTGGTCTTTAAACCCTCCGTTTGTGTCTTTAGCTTGCTGTGCCTGCCAGGCTTTAAACCATTGGTTTCAGGAAGTAAATGAAAATATTGTGCCGCTCAGTTTGCCTCTTGTTTTTTTGACTAAAGAGAATCTATTTTTTGAAAAGTTAAATGTCTGCTTGCACATCTAAACCTGAGGCTGAAACGTAGCTTTCTTTGGAATATAATCTGAAGATTTACATGGCTGAAATTGCAGCTGTTTTGAATTTAAAGGAATCAGAAAAGAAAATAGAATCCAGTTTGAGGGAGGTAGTCACTGAATTACTGTTCAAGTCTTTTTGTATTAAATATAGAAGTGGTATTTTCAAAAGTACTTAAGTGCTTCCTTTGAAATGGATATTTCGATTATTAGAAAAACTGGTTAAAAAAATAAAATGACTCTAGGATTTGAAAGCAATACATGGGAGGTGTCTTTCAATTACCTCTAAACATTGTGGATACTTAAATAGACCAATTAAGAAGAGCCCATGTATTCAAAAATTATGAAGATAAACTGATTTTTCAAAGGTTTGCCCTCTTGAGAATGGTGGGGGGTGATTTCCCTTGATTAGATTTGTTGGCAAATCCTGTAAAGTCCCTGCCTCCCTCTCCTAACCCAGTTCCCCCTACTTTGGATGAAAGTTTGGCATACCAGGTATCAGGAAATTTCTGAAAATCACTTTCTAAAGTGCTACTAAGTATTGGAAGTGGTATTCCAGTCATAAATCTACAGTTTACTCCTTGTGACAATAAATCCCAGAAAGTTTCCTGTATAATTCTGATTTGTATTGTCCTTTTGACAGACTTTACAGTGCTATTTTTTTAATGTGAAAATTTGGTCACAATATATGCAGCTAATAGCGACTCTGCTTCTGTTACCTTCCCTTTAACAGAAGGAAATGGCTGGTTTGCGTGCTGCTGGCCTGCTCCTGTGTGGAGGCGCAAGCACACAGAGATCCCACTCTGGATCAGCACTGGACTCTTTGGAAGAAAACCTATGGCAAACAATACAAGGAAAAGGTACGTGGGATTGTTACTTGAGCAATTTGCTTTTGCTCAAGTATCCTGTACTTTCTCCCCCTCAAAATTATATGCTTACAAGCAATGTTTTCAATAAATGCTTACGCACTCATTTCTTGCCAGATTCTATTTTTGGTACCAAAGATATAGCAGGAAACAAAGCAAGTTCCTGTTTTTGTGGAGCTCATATTATAGCAGGGGAGACAGGAATTAAGTAAATAAATAAGCAGATATATAGTATGGTAGGTGGTGACAAGTGCAGTAGAGAAAAATAAAGCAGGGCATGGGGGTCTAGCGATACCTAGAGCTCTGGAGGGCTCTGGGAGATGGCTGTGAGGGGCTGGAAGTGATTATTCTTTATATACAACAGAATGCTCAGGGAAGCACCCTCATCAAAGGTGACATGTGAGCCAAGAATTCATAGAAGCCAGGGAGCAAATAAAGTTGTAATGGGAATGCAGGTTCCAGGTCAAGGGGGATAAAGCACATGTTTGGGGACAAAAAGACCTATTTCAGTCCCTGGTGCATAGAAGCACTACCAGATGTTTTTTGACTTTCAATTCCCATGATGTACTTTTGTTTTTATTTCAATGCATACTTATTGATTTTTTTTAAAGATTTTAATTATTATTTGACACATAGATAGTGAGAGAGAGGGGAACAAGTGGGGGTAGCTACAGGCAGAGGGAGAGGGAGAAGCAGGCTCCCCGCTGAGCAAGGAGGGCTCCATCCTAGGACCCTGGATCATGACCTGAGCTGAAGGCAGATGCTTAACCGACTGCGCCACCCAGGCGCCCCATATATTTACTGATTTTTAAGACCTTAACAAGGACACCTGGGTGGCGCAGTCGGTTAAGCATCTGCCTTTGGTTCAGGTCATGATCCCGGGGTCCTGGGGTCGAGCCTGAGCCCCGTGTTGGACTCCCTGCTCAGTAGGTAGTCTGCTTCTCCCTCCTCCCTTGCTCCTCCCCCACGCTCATTCTCTCTCTGTCAAATAAATGAAATCTTTTTTTAAAAAAAGACCTTAACCCTAGTCCTTCAAATAACTGAGTCTTATAACTATATACTATTTCTGAGTTTGGGGGTGCGTGGCTGGCTCAGGAGACTCTTAATCACAGCTCTTATTCTCAGACTCTTAATCACAACTCTTAAAAAAATATTTCTGAGGGGCAGATGGCTGGCTCAGTCAGTGGAGCACATAACTCTTGATCTCGGGGTTGTGGGTTTGAGCTTCACGTTCGGTATAGATTACTTAAAATCTTTAAGATATATATATTTCTGACTTTGTAAGCAAGAATTATGTATTAATTTCTTTGATACATTATTTTTGTATAAAAATGACACTTTTAGTAGGATGTGCACTAAGTTGTTTTCTTAGTAGTGATGAATTTTACCCTCATCCAATCCCCTTTAGAAACAAGCCTCTAATTTCAAGGTTAATCAGAGTAAGTTGTTCAGTTAGCACCACTATCTGGTTAAATGAATACTATCTCTCTTTTTAATGATTCCAGTCCCTTGGAAGGAATGAAAATAACTTTTGATTAGTATTCTACCTTTATAATTTATTTCAAAGTTCAAATAACATAATGCTTTTGCACACTTAATAAACTATAGTATAGTGTAAACGTGACTTTTATATGCATGGAGAAACCAAAAATTTTATTTGACTCACTTTACTGTGGTATTTGCTTTACTGCAGTAGTCTGGAACTGAACCTACAATAATTTTAAGATATGCCTGTGACTATGTTCTTCCTCCTTACATTTTAGAATGAAGAAGTAGCAAGGCGTCTTATCTGGGAAAAGAATCTAAAATTTGTGATGCTTCACAATCTGGAACACTCAATGGGAATGCATTCATATGATCTAGGCATGAACCATCTGGGAGACATGGTAAGTAAATTACAAATAATCCTACTTTCATCTCTGGGTAAGCATGATTTCCATCTCCCCAAAGGCAATTTGAAGGTAAACAGCAAAGGAATATGTGTGTGTGTGTGTGTGTGTGTGTACAAAGTTAGAAAACAGTAGAATTTAAGGACATAAGAATTTGCAGATTCCTTGTTTAGTCCTACTGTGACCACTTCCCTTAATAAATTTTTTAGAGGCATATTTGAAACTCAGAGGCTAGTATTGCTTTTGTTTTTTATTAATTCTAGAAAGCACTGCCGAAAGATTACTCACAATCTTTTAGAGTAAGTTACCATACTTATGTACATCTTAACTGATAATTCAGTATGGTCCACCTGCCTTCTTAATGAGAGAGTGTGGGTATTTAATATCACAAATACTCTCCCATTAGTTTTTTTGTTTTTTGTTTTTAGATTTTATTTATTTGTCAGAGAGACAGAACACAAGCAGGGGGAGAGGCAGGCAGAGGGAGAAGCAGGCTCCCCACCGAGCAAGGAGCCCGACGTGGGACTCGATCCCAGGATACTGGGATCGTGACCGGAGCCGAAGGCAGCGGCTTAACTGACTGAGCCACCCAGGCGTCCCTCCCATTAGTTTTTAAATTTTTTCCTACCCTACAAAACTTTACTGTTGAGGCCAAAATTAAGAATCATAGTACCTCTTGGAAGAGAACACTCTGGGTAGATTAAATTTCTACCTAAATGCAGGCATCTTCTTTGTAATTCTTTCTCACAAGGAAAACCAGTTCAGTCCACTTTTTAGACAGCCCTTGTATAAAATTCTGCCTTGCTTTAAACCAAAAATCTGCCTTCCTGTAACTTCTAGTTTTTATCACTTTCTTCTTCTTCCCAATGCCTAAGTGGGTGCCAAGACAAAGTGTGAAAGAGACCCAGATAATTCACCTATCAGATAGTTAGCAATACCTATGTTGGTTACAACTACCACTAGTTTTTCTCGGCTGTTAAATTTATTCACAGTTACAGTTATTAGAATATTGAAAAGAAGGTCATAAGTGAAAGGAGATATATATATATTTGTCTTGTAGACCAGTGAAGAAGTGATATCTTTGATGAGTTCCCTGAGAGTTCCCAGCCAATGGCAGAGAAATATCACTTACAAGTCAAACTCTAATCAGAAATTGCCTGATTCTGTGGACTGGAGAGAGAAGGGGTGTGTTACTAAAGTGAAATACCAGGTGAGTATTGTTATCCCAGGCTTCTGTACCCCAGGAAGAGCTCTCTCTTCTGTCAATACTTAGTCCAGCTACATAATTTGGCAGCAGAATCTCCCTAATGTTATTTCTAATGATTTTTGTTATTCTTGTCTTCCCAACTAAACTGTAAGCTCCTTGAGGACAATGACCACATATCATACTTTATTTGTATTCTCCACAGTTTAGTCCTTGTTTAGTCCTGCTGTGACCACTTTCCTCAACAAATTTTTTAGAGGAATATTTGAAACTTGCAGGCTACTATTGCTTTTGTTTTTTTATTAATTCTAGAAAGCATTGTCTAAAGATTAGTCACAATCTTTTAGAGTAAGTTACCATACTTACATAAATCTCAATTGATAATTAGAATACCAATGGTTAGAGCCACATTAGACAAAACTGTGAACTGAGCAAATATGTTTCTTTAAGACAGATTTTTAGTGCTCATACTATCGATCAACTGCACTGGGCCTTCCACCAAGGCAATTGCTTGAGAAACAGTATTGTGTGTGTGAGAGAATATTGATCAGGAAGTTTCTCCCTACATTTCAGGACTGAAGGAGAGGGAAAACCCAGAGCTGAGAGTGGCCTATAAATTGTACCAGTCAATTAACTCATGACTAGGCTTGCATTGTTACAGTAAGAAATACAGTGTGGGTTTTATGAATTTGTTCCTATGTTTTTGTATTTCCTTTAGTTCGCTTTAAGGGGTGCCTGGGTGGCTCAGTTGGTTAAGCATCGGACTCTTGATCTCAGCTCAGGTCTTGATCTCAGGGTCATGAGTTCAAGCCCCATGTTGGGCTCTATGCTGGCCATGGAGACTACTTAAAAAAAAAAAAGTGGCAAAAATCCTAAATAAGGGTAAAACACATGTATCACCTTAGAGGTGAGGGTAAGGGAGAAGAAGCCAAGTGTTCTGAGCATCTGCCCCAGCTGGTGACCAATGAAGAAAGTAAACATATCTTTTTATTTTTATTTATTTATTTATTTTATTTACTTTTTAAAAAAGATTTTATTTATTTATTTGACAGAGAGATAGAGAAAGAGCACAAGTAGGCAGAGTGCCAGGCATAGGGAGAAGGAGAAACAGGCTCTCCGCTGAGCAGGGAGACTGATGTGGGGCTCTCTCCCAGGACCCTGGAATCATGACCTGAGCTGAAGGCAGAAGCTTAACCAACTGAGCCACCCAGGTGCCCCTTTTATTTATTTATTTTTAAAGATTTTATTTATTTATTTGAGAGAGAGTGAAAGCGAAAGAGAGTAAACATATTTTTTAAAGAATTAATTATTTATTTGAGAGAGAGCCCAGGTGCGGGGAGGGGCTGAGGGAGAGGGAGAAGCAGAATCTCCACTGAGCAGGGTGCCTGACACAGGGCTTGATCCCAGGACCCTGGGATCATGACCTGAGCCAAAGGCAGATGCTTAACTGACTGAGCCACCCAGGTGTCCCAAAAGTAAAAATTAAGAAGTGAATGGTACTGCTAATATCTTATTCTGTTCTTCCTAGATATTTTTCTTGCAATTAGTTTTGGGTTTCTTAGTCTAAAATAAGTTTGGGGGCGCCTGGCTGGCTCAGTCAGTAGAGCATGCAACGCTCAATCTCAGGGTCGTGAGTTAAAGCCCCATGTTGGTCATGGAGGCTACTTAAAAAAATAAGAAAATAAAAGTTTGGGAAGATCCAGTAAAGTACACATTTAGGTATTAAATATAAACAATCTAATGGAGCTCCATTCTCTGGATGCTTGCATTTTAATGGGTGATTTTGCTTTAACCAAAAGCAAATTCAATTTGCTTCCTTTGGGTAGAGAGCAAGGTGGAATGAAGGAAGAAGTGAAGAGAACAATTATGATAAGGCTCCGGATCTTTTTTAACTAAAGCAGCTTTGTGTTTTTCTGTTTGTTTATGCTTCCCTGTAAACTATCTTTGACCAAAAAATTATGAAGCTAAAAATGTGTGAAAAAAGGGGCACCTGGGTGGCTCGGTCATTAAGCGTCTGCCTTCGGCTCAGGTCATGAGTCCAGGTCCTGGGATCGAGCCCCGCATCGGGCTCCCTGCTCAGCGGGAAGCCTGTTTCTCCCTCTCCCACTCCCCCTGCTTGTATTCCCTCTCTCACTGTGTCTCTCTCTATCAAATACATAAAATCTTAAAAAAAAAAGTTTGAAAATATTTAACCATATATCTTCAGGCCTTATTTGACAGGAGAAAAGGTATTTTAAGTCAAGAGAATCATCCTAGCTCCTCTCAAAATCACTGTACTGTAGATGACTATCTAACTTACTTATGGGTGAAGATAGCTGAGATCTGGTGCATGCTCAGTAGGTGCTTTCTTAATATATTTGACTACAGCAATTATGCTCAGCCATTTGCAAATTTCTATCAATATAGGACCTTGCTCAGAGAACAATCAAGTATTTAGTCTTCATGTCCATGGCTAAGAAATGAAGAAACTGTAGTGGGGGGAGCTGTTCCTGTAACAACTGACAGAGCAGACATGTTGGGAGGTAACCAGGTTGTGTTATGGAAGTCCTCCTTCCCTACTCTCTCTGATTACCTTTGGGACCTTGTCTCTGTTTTAGGGTGCTTGTGGTGCTTGCTGGGCTTTCAGTGCTGTGGGGGCCCTGGAAGCACAGCTGAAGCTGAAAACAGGAAAGCTGGTGTCCCTGAGTGCACAGAACCTGGTAGATTGCTCAACTGAAAAATACAGGAATAAAGGCTGCAATGGTGGCTTCATGACAGAGGCTTTCCAGTATATTATTGATAACAAGGGCATCGATTCAGAAGCTTCCTATCCCTACAAAGCTACGGTGTGTCACAAACAAACTTTTTTGGGTCTTTGTGTTATCCCTTGATTAACTGAATTAAACTCACAACCAAGCCAATCGCTTGAGAAGCAGTGTATGAAAATCATGATCAGGAATTCTTAAATTTTCAAGAGTTCGCTTCCTTATTCAGTAGGCTTCTTAATTCATCAGTGGCACAATGGTTTTAAGCAAGTAGAATTCATGAAAAATGGATTTTCAGTAAACCTAAGAATTCTTTCTGTTCATCTGCTTGGTATTTCAACTTGTTTTTCCTGTGGCCTCCCATGCTCAACCTTATTCTCAGATCATCAACCACATCATTCTCCTACCTACTAAAAAGCTAAATAATGCTCTCTTCTTTCTCCTCACAAGTTCATGACATATTTTGTTAAATGAATTAATATATCCATATTACTGAAAATTTAGAAAATATAAAAATACCACTCCAAAACCTCCTACCTTAACCACCATTATTTTGGTTTATTTCTTTCAAGTTTTTTGTCCTATTAAGCATTTAAAAAACCATACATATATGCACAACAAAAGTGAATTTATAACTTCTCTTTTCCTACTAAAATATGCACTCTAAGTGCTTTTCAGATTATATGGTCTTTATAAACCATAATTTAAACTGCAGATCATCTTGCACACATTATATCATCAAAAAGACTTTAAAGAAGTTCTAGTATAGAGTTTATGATCTTTACATAGTATACCCCTACAATCCACCTGAGAGGGACATTATCCAGCAACTTTTGCATGCATGAAGATGTTCACAACTTAAAACAATATAATCATTATGTATTTCCTCTGTTACTGGTGAAACATGGAACTGTTGGGGTTTTGGAAGATTTGATTTTTCTTCCTTTAAAAGGAAGAAGGAACCTTAGACATCTGAAAGGCTAAATGAGGAAAGAAAGCATATTTGAAATCCAGACTTAGGATGTTGGTGATATAAAGGAAGTTGAAGTATACTTCTTTATCTGATTTATACCTTTTTTTGCAGGATGGAAAGTGCAGGTATGACTCAAGAAATCGAGCTGCCACATGTTCAAATTATATTGAACTTCCCTTTGGCAGCGAAGATGCCTTGAAGGAAGCTGTGGCCAATAAAGGACCTGTGTCTGTTGCTATTGATGCAAAACACTCTTCTTTCTTCCTGTACAGAAGTGGTAAAAACTCAGATGTGCTATCTTCTTATTATATACTGCCCCTGCGCCATAAGAAAGAATATTATCCTTCCCCATCACCCCACCTCTGAATGTTCAGGTTAAACAGAATCCTTCATTTCATATATGTATTTTATATTCAGTTCTAATTAGTACTAATTAGTACAAAATTTCCTAGTACTATATGCCAAGTACTATGATAAATTCTTTCCATGCAGTATCTTATTTAATCCTCACAATAACCCTATTTTACAGATGAACAAGTCTTAGAACAAGTCTTAGACTTGCCAAAAGTCATACAGTCTGGAAGTGGTCAGCTAGGCTTAGAACCCATGCAACGTTGACTCCAGAGCCTGGGCTCCTAACCCCTGGAGCCACTGTGCACCGTAGGTGCAGCACTACGGGATACAAGGAGGGCACCTGCCAGTGTTAGAGCATTGTGTTAAACCAAGTAAATGGCTATACTGTTTTATTTAAAAAAAAAAAAAAAAAAGCCTCACCCAAAGATCATTTCATCTAGTAAAGAATAAAAATATACAGAATAAACAATTTAGGAATATATACAAAGAAATACAGTAACTGACGTAACTGACTCTATATAAATTAAAAATGGTTAGAAAAAGGGGGCGCCTGGGTGGCTCAGTCAGTTAAGTATCCAACTCTTGATTTCAGCCAGGTCATGATCTCAGGGTGGTGAGATCGAGCCCCGTGTCAGGCTCCACACTCAGCACAGAGTCTGCTTGGGATTCTCTCTCTCTCCCCCCCTCTGCCCCTCCTCCTGCTTGTGCTCACTCGCGGTCTCTCTCTCTCAAATAAATAAATAAATAAAATCTTTAAAAAATAATTAGAAAAAGGTAGCTGTTTATCAAAGATTTCTGAGGGAACTGTGACTGGATCAATGCCAAACTTGGTAAGAAAACCAATAAATACAGAATTGATGGCAAAGAATTATGAACTCCACATAGTTTAATGAGAGTGTATGTTCCTAAAATCATAATTCAACTTGCTGGCCATGTATATAAAACAATCTACTAAAAGCAATAGCATTTTCAAATGTCCTTATTGTCACATACCATTCACTCTTTTTTTCCACCTATATTTTATTCTCAGGTGTCTACTATGACCCATCCTGTACTCAGAATGTGAATCATGGTGTATTAGTGGTTGGCTATGGTAACCTTAATGGGAAAGATTACTGGCTTGTGAAAAACAGGTAATATATTTGCACTTTAGTGCATATTTAATTAAAATAAGGAATTCGATGGTGCTTCAACAAATGCTTTGCTGTGATTATGATGATGATGATTATGATAATGACAATGATAAACATTTACAGCTTCTTATAAAGTGACATTCTAAATTAATTACTCAGTGCCCCCATTTCCTCACTTCCTATTCTGGCTTCAGCAGTTTTCATGATTTTTCTTCTAGAATACTTCTCTGACCGTTCCTTCTCAGTCTCCTTTATAAATATCTATTCCTCTGCTTAGCCCCCAAATGTTGGTCTTTTTCCTCTGGGGCTCCATCCTTTGCCCATTACTCTTCTTAGCCTACATTTTTCTTGTGATTTTAGCCATAGCCTATATGCTGATAGCTTTCAAAGCTCAAGCTCTAGCTCTATCCTCTGCCCTGAAATTCGGACTTATTTATCTGGACATATCCACTTCCATGTATCTTAGTTTCTCCAAACTCAGTATGTCCAAGGAATTCAGTACCCTCTCTACCATATTGTGTCCTTCTCCAGAACTTCCTGTCTCACTAAATGGCAATAACACACAACACAGTCACCCAATTAGACACTATAGATTTGTTGTAGGCCAGATCTAATCAAGCAACAAGTCAAACTAATTTTCCACATACCTGTTCTTGCTTCTGTCGCCTCTCCATTTCTTCCATTATTGCTTTGGTTCAGACATCTCTTGCCTGGACTATTCCTGTAGCCTTCAAGCTGGTCTCCTTTACTCTCAAATCCATCTTTTGTAAACTGCTTCCAAACTGGTATCTCTCATATATGACAAACTGGGCTTATAATTGTTCTACAGAGTACCATTTGGTATAAAATTAATGTTCCCTAGTGGAGAAGACAAGTCATCTATGTTGTGGTCCCTGCCTGGCTTGCCAGGCTCAATTGCTGGCACTTGTCTCACACTTTTCATTCCAGTTACATTGAACTATACACAGAGTTCCTATACATACCATTTTATCTTTAATATCTTCATAGTTTGGTTATGCTGTTCCCTCTGCCGGGAACATTCTTTCTCCTCACTTGGTTTATTTCTCCTTTTCCTTCAAAACCAGCTAAGGCGTTCTCTGTACCAGAAATTTCCTTCTAAATCCTTGGGCTGAGTAAAATGTGTTTTTTCTATGTTCCCAAAGTGTCTTATGCATACTGGAGTATTTTATACATTATATTTAAATTGTATGTTTACCTATCTATGACTAGTATTCGGTATGCACCTTTGGGGTAAAGATCTGTATTGTCCTTGTGTCCTTAGCACAATACATGGCACACATAGAAGGTGGTAGTATTTGTATGTCCTATTGGGAAAGTAGTTGAGGAAACAACATCTTGGTTCACTTGTAACCTATTCACAGCACTGATCAGCTTGGGCCTGGACCAGTGATAATGTTTTTATATGAAGCAATATTTTCACTTACATCTTTTTTCTTGTTGACTTCCTACAGTATGTATTCTAACTTCCCTTCCCTATTGAAACTGCTCTTCTGGAAGACCATTTATATCTTTTAGTGTTTAAATTCAAAACCCCTTCTCAGCACTTACTCATTCAATGAACATTTACTAGGCATCTACAATGTGATGGGCATTATCTAGGCCCTAGAAATACAAATTTTTTTTTTAAAGATTTTATTTATTTATTTGAGAGAGAATGAGAGACAGAGAGCATGAGAGGGAGGAGGGTCAGAGGGAGAAGCAGACTCCCTGCCAAGCAGGGAGCCCAATGCGGGACTCGATCCTGGGACTCCAGGATCATGACCTGAGCCGAAGGCAGTCGCTTAACCAACTGAGCCACCCAGGCGCCCCCCTAGAAATACAAATTAATGAGAAATCATCCTGTCCCAAAAAAGCGCACATAACAGTCCAGTGGGGAATTAGATATATTTTTAAAACAATAAAATACAACACATTACGGTATAATGATATATGTCTCAATGGCTATGGAGCCATAGATGAGGAGATGCCTAAATGCCTAAAAGTTTCACAGAGAAGGCGCTACTTATTTGCATTAAGTTTTCAGATGAGTGGAATTGCTCATGTGTTAGAGGAGGAAAATAAATGGCCCAATCACCTAAAAAGGATATGCAATGGCACAGAAAAGTGAAAAATTCCTCTGCTTTATAAACTCTCTACTGCATTTATTTCTTTGGCATCAACGACATAAGACATAACACTATCCTGACTCATTTTGCTGTATCAGCTTTAGCCTCATTTCTTACTTTCTTCCACCTGTCCCTTATGCTCTAGCTCTAGCTGTACTAACGCATACTCATCTGCAACTTTAGTTTCAACTATTGCCATTATGTGGATGATAGCCAATTCACAAACTCTAAAAACAATCTCTCTACTAAGCAACGGACTTCCATGTCCAACTTCCAACTTGACAGCTTTGCTAAAAAATCCAAATTTCCAGGGCGCCTGGGTGGCTCAGTCAGTTAAGCAACCGACTCTTGGTTTCAGCTCAGGTTGTGGTCTCATGGGTTATAAGATCGAGCCTCAGGCCCGCAGCTGCCCTGCCCTCCACACTCAGCAGGGAGTCTGCTTGAAGAGTTTCTCCCTCTGCCCCTCCCGCCACTCACGTGCTCTCTCTCTAATAAATAAATAAATCTTTTTTAAAAAATCCAAATTTCCAGGGGCGCCTGGGTGGCTCAGTCC